TGGTGGTGGTGTTTGTTAGTTTTTTGTTTTATCTGTTTTTTATGAGGACAAAAAACTTTTTTTTTTTTTTGAGACAGAGTCTCACTTTGTCATCCTCAGTTGAGTGCCATGCCGTGGCATCATAGCTCACAGCAATCTCAAATTCTTGGGCTCAAGTGATCCCCTTGCCTCAACTTCCCAAGTAGCTGGGACTACAGGTGCCTGCCACAAAACCCAGCTATTTTTAGAGATGGGGTCTCACTCTTGCTCAGGCTGGTCTTGAACTCCTAAGCTCAAGCAATCCACCCGCCTTAGCCTCCCAGAGTGCTGGGATTACAGGCGTGAGCCACCGCACCCAGCCCGTTTTGTTTTGTTATGTTTTGTTTTGAGAGTCCCTCTCAGGGTTTCAGGAAGCATCCAGGAGGCCAGGATGAGGAGAGACTCTGGGCCATAAGCAGGTTCCCAGGGATGACATGCCCTGTCCCACCACCATCCTCGCCCCGCCCCACACTGTGACACCTCCCAATTGAAGGGAAAGGAGTTCCAGCCTTGTAGTTGCCCTGCCCCCAACAAAGGCTCACACTCACCCTCCCCCCTTAGCCCAAATCCTCCCTTCCCACCTAGGTACCCAAGGCCTCTCTCTCCATACCTCTCCCACACTACCTGTACCCAAATCGAGCCCCCTCCCCAACTTTCTGTCCCTCACCATTCTGGCCAGACACAGGGGCCCCCCAAACCACTTCCCTCAAACTCCACGATGCTGTACCCAAGAAGAGCTCCAACCTAGAAGTCACACAGCCCTGGGTGCCAACCCAGCTCCACCACTAACTGGCTTTGAGCCCTGGGAAAGTGCCTTAACTTCTTAGATCAAAAGAACACCCTGTGGTGTCATGCTCAAGGTTAAATAATTAAGCACTTAGCCTAGGACACTACCTGTGACCTCCTGTGAGACCCACGGTGAGTGTTCAACTGATGAGAAAGCTGTCATTACTACTGTTACTGCTGTTGTATGTCACTGCCGTCCCTTGCTGCCCACTCCCTCAGGACAAAATCCAAACTACTTAGCCCAGTGGTCAGTACCTTATCCAGTGTGACCTCTTCATGTCTGTCTCTGTCTTCCATTCTTTCCTGCTACAGATCCTTCATTCTGGGTCACCATGCTCTCCCCAAGGCTCCTCCACAATGCTAAGTCTGTTGGATGTGTTTACCCCTCATGGCTGACCTCATGCTCTAGGAGATTTCCTCTCTGACTCTCCCCAGTCCATCCTACTCCCACCCCACCCCTACCAGCTAATCTTCTGGTCCAGGGTCCCGCCCTTCTCCCTGGGCACACACTCCTGGGAATGTTTTACCCACTATGCGACCTCAAATGCCCATGGACTTGCTGGTGATATTCCCTTTCTCTCCTGCCCAGACCTCTCCCAGGCCCCAATCCTGAGACCCCCTAGCCATCTTAGCTCAGACATCTCAAACCTATCCAGATTAAAGCCATGTCCCCCACCCCCAAACTTCTTCCCTTCTGCTCCTACGTTCTCTTCTACACTGTGCTCCTGGTGTCCAAGCTAGAACCTGGAGCTCCTCCTGACCCCCCAATCCATCATACCCACATCCTCCCCATCTGCTGCCCCAGTAGCTTCCCACTGCTCTCCTGCAGGCAGAGAAGCATCCAAAGAAAAACTGGGGTTCTGGCAGTCCCTTGCCCAAAACTCTCCATGAAGTCAATCAGCTGTAGCAGTGGGCACCAGAATCCCCTAGGCTGTCTCTTTAAAACTGCTCATTCCTGGGCCCAGCCACAGAGTTTGATTATGTCTAAGCTAGGCCCAGAAATGTGCATTTTAATAAGCTGTTCCCAGGGACTCTGATGGAAGGGGGTGGGGGCTGTGGCCAGAGCCTGGTCAGAGGCTTTAACATCCCTCAGGATCTGAGCCCCACCTACCTCCCAGCCTCAACTTCCATCTCTTTGGCCCTTCTGTACATGCCTACCTTTCCCTGAAGGGCTATTCTCTCCCTCTTCTGGCCTTGGTCCAAGCAGTCCCTGTGACTGGGACACTCCTGCAATTCTGACCCTTGACATTTCCTGCTGTCCTTCAGACTGCAATTTGGACATCTATTCCTCCAGACTAGGTTAGGGCCTCTCTGGGTACCCCTCAGTTTCTCTCCTTATAGCCACTCTGGCCCCTAAAATATCTGTAGGGACCATGTCTGTTCGCCTTACCCCATGTTCCCAGGGCAGTCTGTGCCTGGAATACGACAGCATCCCATTAGTGATTACTGAATGAATGACTGAATGGCTCTGCTGACAGACTGCCTCACTCATATCCCAGTGCCTTCTCTGCTCTACAATGAGCCTTGGACAACCTCACTCAGCTTTTGTAGCTCACTAGTGAAGTAAGAGTAATGATACCTTGACAGACTGTCATGAGGATGCTGTACTTAGTGCCTGCCTCAACTAAGTGCCACTACCCCAAATGTGCTGCACATGGTCCCACCTCAGGAGCATAGCCATTGGTTCAGAGCTCCCTGTGGGTGAGGATCAGCTTGTATCTGGCCTGTGCCCTCCCCAGCCCATCCCACAAGGAAAGTACACACAAGTGTCTGCCAGCTGAGTGCAGGTAGAGCCTTTGTTCACCCAGAGGGGGATTAAGAACCTATCTGGAAAGCCTAATCTCTCCCCTCCCAAAATTTCAGGCTCAGCTAATACGTACCCCTTATATGCAGTCCTCTAGGGCCTTCCCTGCCCCCCCACCATGAGCTACTGGTCTCCATCCTGGAGCCCAGGGTGTCCTCCCACATGGCAATCTGCCTGTAGCATTGCATTCCAGGATGACTCCCCACATATGAGAGGCCCTTGTCAAAGCCTGTGGGCTTCTTTAATGCAAATCAAATATACCCTTTCCAGGAAACAGTTTCTAATTTTCTTCAAATGACTCTGCTCACTCTGCACACATCCCTACAATGATCTCTTTCACCTGTGTTGCTTGGGAAGCGTGCATAGATCACTTTTCAGCAAAGTGACCAACTCATCCCAGTCTCCCCATGATGCTTCCAGTTTTAGCACTAAAGCTCTGTGTCCTGGGCAAACCAGGACATTTGGTCACCCTACATTTCCAGTGTCTGTGTAGGTAGATAATATATTCATCCTTTCTCCTGTCCCTCCACAGACACTGCCTCAAAGCTAGGCCACTGTCTCATATCTCAGTCAACCTGGGCCCCCTCCCCGCCCCCATCATCCCAAGGTCCAACGTACAGTTTCAAGTATAACGAGCAGCCTTGAGGCCCTGCCTGCCAAGGCTGATACTGAAAGCCTTGAGATTCTGGCCTTTACAGGAGGAAGGGGGAGGGAGGAGAAAAAGAGAAGAGATGGGGTGGAGTGAAGACCAAAAGAACAGAATGGCGGGGGAGGAGGGTTGAAGCTATGGATGGGAGGGTATAGTAAGGTGGACAAAGTTACAGAAATCTGAGGACAGGGTTAGTCTCAAGATACAGGATGTGTCTTGGGGACACAGCAGAGATAGAGGAGAAAGAAGGGAAGATGAGGGAAGAAGTCATCCTTCAGGTCTGCATAAGCTCCCTGGAGTGCTGGCCAAGAAGGGGGGCCACTTGCCACTGACTACTGGCCAACTCTCTCACCTGAGGGCCTAGCATGGGAAGCCCGAGCTATAGGTGAGAAAGCAGGTGCCAAGTGTCCAGCCTAGATTGGTTGGGAGCCCCTTCCCATCAGGCATAGGGGGAAACTCGAAAGGGGTGAGGATTGCCCCCAGAATTAGAGCAGCAGGTGAATGATGGGGGAGGGAGTCAGGAGGAAGTGGCTTGCTTACCTTTAACAAATGTTGGGCAGTGTAGAAGCCTGCTGGGCCACTGCCCACCACACAGATCTGGGGAGTCTTCTCTTGTGTAGAAAACTGCTGGAGTAAGCCTGGGGCTGGGCAGAGAAGGGGGAAGAGGGTCAAACCAACACTCCCTCCCCAACCCCAAACCAACTTCAGTGTCCTACAGAAGCTAGAACTTCCCAAGCTTCACCCTCACCTGCACCCTCTTGTTCTTCAAAGCTTTGGTGTTTGCCAGGTCCCCTATTTCATCTGGACCCCCAAAAGCTGCATCTTCATTCAGAGGCCCACATCTCACCCATGAACTTACACCACCAAAAACGATGGTCAACTTCCAAACCCCCATCATCTCAAGCTGCCCTGCACAAAACTTCATTTTTCTTTGTTTTTTTTTTTTTTTTTGTTTGTTTGTTTGTTTGAGACAGAGCCTCAAGCTGTCCCCCTGGGTAGAGTGCTGTAGCATCAAAGCTCACAGCAACCTCCAACTCCTGGGCTCAAGCGAGTCTCCTGCCTCAGCCTCCCAAGTAGCTGGGACCACAGGTGCCCGCCACAACGCCCGGCTGTTTTTTGTTGCAGCCTTCATTGTTTGGTAGGCTGGGCTGGATTCGAACCTGCCACCTTAGGTGTATGTGGCTGACACCTTAGCCACTTGAGCCACAGGCGCTGAGCAAAAACTTCATTTTTCTTACAGGGTCCCATTGCCAATCGGCAAGAATCCACATCATATCATCCCGATCTCGCCCCTAAGGATCACCTCACAATGCCCCCATCTTACCTCTTCCAACCCCTCTGTATTGCCCATAAAGATCCCTGTATGTTTCAGCCTTCCCTCTCATCCACAGACTCCCTTATCACCCCATTCCCCTGTCTCACTCCTGTGGGCCTCATGTTCTCTCCTTTGTCGACCTCTGTCTCAACCTAGAGGCCTCAGGTCTCACCACACAGGCTCCTACATGCCCCCATCTCGCCGGCATGAATAGACCTGTAGTCTCGTCCCTCTCCGGCCCGGACCCTGCTTCGCTCCAACCCTACACTTAGTGTTCGCCGGGCTCCCCGCGCTCCCATCCAGCCCCATAGATGCCCTGCTCCTACTCGGGGTGCTCCCAGCGAAAGGCGGCCGGGTCCGAGGCCACGCTGACCAGCGCCACCAGAACCAGCAGCGCGGAACCATGACTGGGGACAGCAGCCTGCAGGTGGATCTGCCCCCGGCGCCCGCAGCGTGCTGCCTCCCTGCCTGCCCGCCCGTACCTGCCCTGCCTCTGGCCCCGCCCACAAGAGAAACCCCGCCTCCCACGCTCGGGGAAAGCGCTGCTTTGCGACTGCACCCAGACTTCCAGAGTATCCCCGCCCCCAAAAGAGAGACCCACTCACTACCATCGAAGCACCGCCCCTCATGACTTCAGGGCGGTACAGGACTTAATATATTTCTCACCAATCCTCACCCTCCCTCCAAATACCAAAAGCTTGGAGCTGGAAGAGAGCGAATCCCCATCGCTGTTTCACTACCGCCTTAAAAAGAGAGCCAATTAGAAGGGAAATTATTTTACTTAGTCCTACCCGTCTCCCGTCGCTTTGTGATGACGCAAGCGCGTTTGCCTTTTGATTGCTCATTTCACCTGGGGGGGGGGTCTTCGACCCAGCCAATCACAAGTCAGGTTCTCAGCGAGCCTTTCGCCCATTGGGTGACAGCCACAGAGTACGGAAGTCCAAATAAAGGGGAGTGCCGCCCTAACCTCACATTTCTTCGTCTCTGGTATTATGTGATCCATGTCTGACCAGGGAAAATATTAAACCCTAGAGCGCTTGTCCCGCCTCACCTCCTCCCTCATTACATAGGTGAAGAAAAGGGGACGTGGGAGAGTGGCATCCCCTAGGTACTAAAGACAGAGGCTCCAACCCTTGTCCAGCGGTGCCTTCGGGTCCAGAATTTAAGGGGACACCAAAAATTTCAGTAATCAAGATAAATATTATAATGCAACATTTAGAAGATCAAAATTAGGCCGAGTGCGGTGGCTCACGCCTGTAATCTTAGCACTCTGGGAGACCAAGATAGTGGATTGCCTGAAGCTCACCAGCCTGAGCAAGAGGGAGACCCCGGTTTCTAAAAATAGCCGGGTGTTGTGGAGGGTGCCTGTAGTCCCAGCTACTCGAGCTGAGGTAATCGCTTGAGCCCAAGAGTTTGAGGTTGCTGTGAACTATGGCACCACAACACTCTACTGAGGGTGACAAAATGAGACTCTTGTCTCCAAAAAAAAAAAAAAAAAAATCAAAGTTAATGCCAAAAATCCATAATGAGCAAAATACATTTTTTTTAAAATACATTTTTTAATAAGGACAGGCCCATGGTCACATACTATCTAGTAAGCCTAATGCCTCTTCCCTTTCCCCAAAGGCCCTCCTCTCAAACATTACTTCCTTGGAGAAGAAAGGGCTTAAAGGTCTCTAGTACCCTAAGCACCTAACCCTACACCACCATGACTTACTACACCACTTGTCATTTTTTAGTGAGTTTTTAAACTGAAGTATTAAAGAAAAATGCATAAATATTAATGTACAGCTTGATAAATTACCACAAGGTGTACCATGTAACCACCACCCAGATCAAGTATAGAGCATGTCCAGTATCCCAGCAGTTCTCTGTGTTCCTACTAGTTGTTTCCCCTCTCTCCTCCTGAGAGGTAAATATTGTTCTGCTTTCCAGTAAGTCAGAAGTCACTGTGTTTTACGTCTGTCCCACTAGACCAGGAGTAGGCAAACTATCTCTGGTTTGCAGTCCAAATGCTGCCCACTGGCCTGTTTTGAATGACCCAAAAGAATGATTTTTACATTTTTTAATGGGAAAAAGTTTAAAATATATTCTGACACATGAACATTACATGAAATTCAAATTTCAGTGTCTGTAAAGGCTTACTGGACCACATCCTTACTTATTTCTTTACATATTGGCTGTTTTGCATGTTGATGGCACAATTGATTTGTTGTGACAGAAACCATATGATTCACAAAACCCAAAATATTTACTATCTGGCCCTTTACAAAAAGAGTTTGACAAACTCTGTGCTAGACTATAAGCTCCATGAGGGTGAGGACCCAATCCTATACATTTATATACCCCCAGAGCTTCACGCAGTGCCTGGCACATAATAGAAGTTCATAAAGAGTTTGTCTTAATGATAAATTGGAGATTTAGGATCAGACACTCTAGAAAGCTCTGTAGGGCTCCCCTTCCAGAGATCTGGTGGTTAAGAGTATGAACTCTGGAGTCAGACACACTGGGTTGGAATCCCTCTTCCACCACTTACTAGCTGTATGGCATAGAGAAATTTAATTTCTCCAGAACTTTTTATCACCATCTGAAACATGTGAGGGGAAAATAGTATCAATTTGTTGTAAAGGTTACAATTAGATAAGTAAAATTAGCTATTATCATCATTATCAATACATATTAACAACTCCCACATACCTCTGTAAGTTAGACTTCAGGTCTCTGCAAGCCTAGACATACTTTATTCACTCACCTTCTCTGACCACTCAAGCTCCAGTCATTCCCTCCCCACATCCTCAGAGTAACAGAAAACGGAGCCTAGTGACTTGTTCCTTGGGTGCCCATTGGCACAGCCAGATCTGGCACCAGGACTTCCAGCTACTGCCCATAATCCACTCAGGTCCAGATCAGTAACAATGAGTCATTGTTATGTATTTAGATGGTTTTAATCATTAGCTAAGACTATGCAACTGGGGCCTTTTCTGACATTGCATTTTTCACATGGAGAATTAGCAGTTTGATTAATTGCATTCTCAGACCTTTAGGGTATTACTGAGCTGCTAATGCATTTCAAAAGAGCAGCAATAACATATAGCAAAGCAGTGGGCTGGGGAGGCTGCCAAGCCTGCCTCAGTCCAAAAGGGCTGCCTGGATCCAAAACTCCACTCTATCAGTCAATTTCCCTGCAGAGAACAGATGGCACACTCAAAAGGGTGATTGAAGAGTTTAAGGAAGGAACTTTATTCAGAGGTGTGGGTGAAGGGACTGAAGAAGCACTCCTGGCCTAGCAATACCTGGAAGCCACTACCACCTGCAGGGAGCTGTTTTGGTACTAGTGAGAGCTGGTGCTATAGGAGAGGGTACCTGAAGGAGCTGTCTTTGGTAGAGGAAGGCAGGGCAGAGATAGGACAAGTGGAGAGCAGATCTGGAGAGGCAAATGGCCTTTACACAGAGCTACATAAGGCCACACTAGTGATGGGTCCTCCAACAGGACTGGGCTCAGAGAAGGCCTTCACCTGCCATCAAATTTGACCCATCCATGAGTTCCCATTTACTGGCAGTTAGTCTCCCTATCAGCAGAGTCAGCGCGGCCTTGGCTCCATCCAAGGACTTAACTGAAAAACAAGGTAATTATGTGCTCAAAGAATGACTTGCATGTTCTCAAGCAGGGATGATTTGGCAATATCTGGAGACTTTTTTTTTAATTTTTTTTAACTATTTTATTTTATTATTATTTTTTGGCCGGGGCTGGGTTTGAACCTGCCACCTCCAGCATATGGGACTGGCACCCTACTTCTTGAGCCACAGGCGCCGCCCTGGAGACATTTTTGATTGTCACGACTATGGCTCCCGGCATCTAGTAGGTAGAAACCTGGAATGCTGCTAAACATTAAACATCCTGCAAGGCACAGGACAGCACCCAACAACAAAGAATTGTCCAATGTGTCAAATGTGTTGAAGCAAGAGGCCCTGTTATAAACTATCTGTTCTGGCCTCCTTTCATAGGCCTGGCCACCTCCCCGGCCTCCACCTGGGCACTGCCTTACAGTCCCCAGGCCCAAGCCCCACTGGGGCAGCTCCCAGCCATCTTTAACTCTGCCTACTTTGCACTGAATCCCAGTGGTGTCCTTTAATGCCTTGGCCTCTTCCTCTGGCTGGCATCCAGTGTTATCTTGTAGTCCCACCTCAATCCCAGGCTGCAGACCACCCTTCCTTACACAGTCCAGCTCTGACCTCAAGCTCTTCTCCCTTGTATCCCACATTCCTTCCCCTCCTCTCTGAGGTCACATCTGTCTCCCAGACTGTTCCCATAATGCTCTCCAACCTCAGCTACTCCCCCTTCCCCCGCCCAGGAATTCTTTCTCTCATCGGATAATTCCCTAGGTTTTCTGCTTCTAAACACCATTGAGCAAAGCAGACTTTGCTAGCCAAGGTCACACTCAGAGCTGCTTATACTCTTTCCCCAACTCAGCTCCTGAGGAACTTTCTCCCTTCACTTCTCCTGGAGTCCTCTCCCCACAAAGCACACACTCACTTTTATTTCACTGATACTGTGGCCCCAGGGAACTGCTGAGCCAGTGTCCTGCACAGGTTTCTTTGGCTGAGAAGCCAGGCCTGCCGGCCAAAAGTAAGCTCACCCTGAAGACCTTGGGGATAGGGCACCTTGGTGGGCAGAGTATCAGAGGGTACAGGAAGAAGCAGTGGCCGAGCCAGGGTAGGGAGCCCTAGCACCAAGGAGGCCTATGCCTATGGGGCTGACCCTACTCTCTCTTGTCTCCTATCTCCCAGGTGGCCCCTGCACAGGATCCCTCCTCACCTTCTGTCACCCCCTTAGCCCTACCAAGGCTCAGATGGGGCGGGGGTAGGGATTGGCTATTTAGTCCTGAGATGCAGCTGGCTGAGGTCACCCTGCCCAGGATGCCCAGCACCATTATTGCTTTCCCCCAGAAACTCAGAAAAACTATCAGGGCAGGGACCCCCCACCCAGTTCCTCAATGCTCCAGGTCTACCACCAGCCACCAGGCCATACCCATGGCCAGCAGCAGCAGAAGGGCTGGGCCCAGGCCAAAGAGGACAGGTGGCAGCACCAGCCCAGCCTCACTGCAGCCCCACAAGCTCAGTGATTGGCGGGGCCTGCACCATGAGCTCCTCGTAGCAACGGAGAAACAGCCAGAAGCGAGCTTGGTACGAATCTTCATTATAGGGCAGCTGCTTCTCACGGAGGAACTGGGACACCACGGGCTTTACCTGTGGGAAGATGGGCAGGACAAGGGGGTCCATGAGCCAGGACTGTGGGGAGAGTAGGGGGAGGGGAGAGGGCATGAGAGGGAAGGGGAGGGGAGGGGAGCTCCCCAGTACTGGCCTCTTTCTGCTTTGTTCCACGATGCTCTAGAGGAGCTGAGGGGCTACTACGGTCAAACAATTCCTGCCCCAACCCAGCAGGCAAAGGAAGGAGGGGCTTCTCCCCAACATCCTCTCCAGTGCTGCCTTAGCTGCATGGCCATCCTTGGTTCAGGGGGATGAAAACCCAAGCTCCCTTTTACCAAGCACTTATTATGTCCCAGACATTTCAGATCTGTTTCTCCATTTCATCCTCAAAAGCCTGTCACCATAAGCATTACTCATGCCCATCTTACAGAAGCTGAAGCTCAGAGCCATTCAGGTAACTTGTCCCAGAGCCAGTAAGAAACCCAGGTGTCTCTGATCTGAAACTAAGGCTGCCACTTATACACTGTGCTGCCTTTCCTATGTGGCCCCTGACCAGACCAGGTGGGGGACTGGGGGCTCAAGTAAACTCTGAAGGCTGCCCCAGCCCACCCTACACCTTCCCTACATCTCCCACCAGCCCAGCCCTCGGCTACCTTCAGGCACATGTTGTCGGAGAGCCTGGGGAAGAGGTGGTGTTCCACGTGGCAGCTGATGATTGAGTGGCCGAACGCCCAGTCCAGCAGGGGCAGCCGGGGCAGGTTTAGCACCCCCAGGCTCATCATGTGAATCCGTTGGGGCTTGTAGTCTCGGGAGAACATGGGAAGCCCGATGTGCTATGGCAGACATGTGGGTCAGCATTAGCTGGGTGAAGACACCCTGCTGAACTGCAGCCCCAGACCACCTCACCACAAGTGTCCTCACCTGGCACTACCCAGTTGGTTCTTCTCTCCCCCAGCCCCCATGCAGAGGAACCTGGTAGAAGTGTGAGCTAACTGGGCTCCTGGCCTGGCTCTGATGCCCACCCTGCCTGTGCCCCACACTGAGTTTTACCCATTTCTGGGTCTCTCTCCCTATCTACATGACAAGGGGCTTGGCCCAGGCATTCTCAGATCCCAGATGCTCTAATGCTGAGACTTCCTACCACCAGCTCTCACAGGAATGCACCCTCGCCTCATCCGACCCTTCCTGCTCTCTTCCCCACTCAAGATCCTACTTATCGAGCCAGGCTCAGTGGCTCATGCCTGTAATCCTAGCACTCTGGGGGGCTGAGGGTTCGAGACTAGCCTGAGCAAAAGCAAGACCCCATCTCTACTAAAAATAGAAGAAAACTATCCAGGTGCGGTGGCAGGCGCCTGTCGTCTCAGCTGCTCGGGAGGCTGAGACAAGAGGATTGCTTGAGCTCAGGAATTTGAGGTTGCTGTGAGATATGATGACACCATGTACTCCACCCACAGTGACAGAGTGAGACTCTGACTCAGGAAAAAAAAAATCCTACTCGTCATTCAAGATCAAGTTTGTGCTCCTCTTTTGTACCTTCTCCTTCAACAAATATGCACAAATGTCCCCTCTGCTGGGCACTGCCTTTGCCTAGGACTCAGTGGTGAGCAGGAGCTTCTGTTTTCACAGTACAAGCAGGTGGGGCCCAAATATGGGATTAAGCAATTAACAGCAGTTATGGCAAGTGCAGAACAGTGAAGTACAGGATGCTCTGCCCCAGGGAAGCAGGGACATGTCCCTGTGGAAATGGTGCCAGAACTGAATGCTGGGCCCTGGCCTGGCATGAAGGCCTCCCCTCTCCAGCTCCTCCATCTGCCTGACTCACTGGGCATGGTGCATGAATGAAAGCTACCAGCCAGTGCTGGGGAGGAGCAAACTCCTGACCTGAAGCCAAACTCTCAGTGATGACCTGAGTTGGGGGGTCACTTGTGGGGAGCCTTCTCCTCTTCCTCGGGCACCTCCCTTCTCCCAGCCTTGGCTCCAGGCTGCAGTCAGGCACCTGGGGAATGCCCCCTCTTAGCCGCCCAGCACCAGGTCAGGGGAGGCCTTACCTGGAAGATGTTGACATGCAGGTAGGGATGGGCCAGCAGGGATCTGATGAGGAACATGCAGACCAGGGCCGAGCGGGGACTCTTAAAGCCTGACACGTTCAGAAGCAGCCAGTACTGGGAATAAAGGCCCAGGGAGATCAAGCCCAGTGTCCTCAGAGCCGTCCTGAGCTCCACCTGCCTCAGCCGCTCTGCCAGAGGGAAAGACATAGAGTGAGGGGGTGGCCAGGTCTCTCGTGAGCCGGCTCCTTGGCACTAAGGCAGAGGGCAGTGTGGGTGTGTTCAGGTAATACCCACGGCAGCCCTGACATGTGAGGTCCTGTGGTATGACAAAATGGAGACATGAAGCAACCTGACCAAGGCCAAGATCTGGGATTTGAATCAGAGTCTGGCTTCCTGTGGATGAGACGTGAAGCAACCTGCCCAAGGTCAAGATCTGGGATTTGAATCAGAGTCTGGCTGCCCCAAAGCCCCTGCTTCTTTCACAATGTCATATTGCTCCCATATCATCAAATACAGCACCATGCACTATCAACTGTGAGTCGTCTATGAAGCATTCTTACATCTGTGGACTCATTTTCTTTCACAGCATCCTGGGGGAGCAGGTGCAGAACCTGAGGCTCAGAGAGGATGTTGCCTGGCCGGGGTCCCCAGCCAGTAAGCGACAGAGCTAGACTTGGCCCTGGGTCTGAGGCTCTTTCTACCCTGGCTGTCTCAGAAAGTCTCTGGTGTGTCTTAAATTGGAACTCCCAGCTTCCTCCACAAGCAATCTCCATGAAGTCAGGAACAGGGGCACCAGGTGCTCATGGTACTTACCCATTGCCACCAGTGGGGTAATGATGGGGAGCAGGAGAGGAGCTAGGAACATGTAGACATAGCGGTTGAGACACGGCAGCCTCCACGTGCTCGAGTCCCCCAAACCCACCACATTGGTGTAGCAATGGTGCATCTTGACATGTCCGTGTTTGGCGCACTCTGCAGTGAAGGCCGTGCATACCTAGAAGGGGCAGCCAGGAGGCATAAAGGTCCATGGCAGGCACAGTCAAGCAAAGCAGGACCTTTGGGAGCCTGGAGAGCACCTCTAGCTCCTCCAGCCCTGCGTTTCTGGGACCTTCCTGCCTCATAGCCACATCTCATCAATCTTAACCATCCACTCTCAGCAAAACAACCGTGTCTACTCACCGTGGCTCTGCAAAGCTTTTGAGGGTAGAAGGCTGGACCCCCAGTGTGCCACTCTGGTTGTGACCGCCCTGGCAACTCCAAGGGTTTCAGAGGCTGTGTGGATTGGACACACTACAGGTGAAGCTCCCAGCATCTTTGCAATTGTCTTGTGCTTGTTTACCTTAGAAACACCTACCCCTTCACAACACTGCTTTGTTCTGAGCCCATAGCAGCCAGGGGAAGGGTATAAGAGGGGTCTGAGAGTGAAGGGACACCATTTTCTGAACAGTCTACAGCCTGCAGCCTTGGGGCCACATGTGGCCTTCTGGATCCTTGAGTGCAGGCTTTTGACTGAATCCAAACTTCACAGAACAACGTGTGAAGTTTGGATTTAGTCAAGGGACCACACTTGGATCTGGAGGACCAAATGTAGCCCTGAGGCCACAGGTACCCCACCCCTAGTCTATAATGGTGGGCTGTCACAGGGACAGCCAGCTTCTCCCTAGAGGTGACTTCTCCAGCACAGCCTTCTCTGAGGCTTTTCAGGACCAGTCAGTCACATACACGAGCTGCTGACTCCTAGGAGAGCAGTCATCTCAGAATGCAAAAGAGATGCTAAGGTGTTTCTTATGCAGATACATGCAAATTAAGAAGCAGATGTAAGCCTTTTCCAATATTTTATCTAAACCAGAAAATTTTGCTAATTATATTGAAGCTGCTGCCCGCCTGTTTCTGGAAGAACATGCAGCATCAGCCACCGTAAGCCGGGTAAAGACAGCAGGAGCCCCTTTGCTGTGCACTCGCTGCGTGCCAGGCTCATTGTTCTGCCCAGCCTAGGGGTCAGCTGTGGCATTATTCACAGTCCACAGAACCAGAAACTGAGATAGAGGCCAAGTGGCCCCAAGTCACATAGCTAAGTAGGTGGCAGAGGCAGAATTCCACCCAAGATAAGCCATGGGAATCCTGACACCAGCCACTCACGCAGCTGAATAGGAAATAAGGAAGGGCATTGTCTACCAGCTCTGTCCCTTAGAATGACACTGAAGCCAAAATGTAGCCAGATGTTCTATCTACAGGACACTGAGGAATACAGGGCAGTTTTAACAAACCACAGGAAGACATGTCAAACCAACAATCCCTCACGGCTTCTCAGAAGGCACAGGATGGGACGGTAAGTGCTAATGCCACCATAGCATATCTGTGGACTCCCCCAAAACAGGACAAGGCACTTTGCTTTCAGATGCTGCAACCCTCGCCCCCACCGGATAGTTTTTCCTGAGGACAGTGAAGTGTGTGCAGTACAGGACTTAAGACTTGGCACATGCGTCCAGAGTCGGTGTATGATTCACCTTTTCATGAATAAGAACAGATTTGAGGCTATTTCTATATCTCTGGAACCCTCACTCCCATTTAGAGAGGGAGGAGGAGAGGAGGAGTTGGGCTAGAGGGGCAAGATGGATGGATGACAGTGTGTCCCAACACCCATCCACCCGAGGGCAGTGAGAGATGACCACATGTTGCTGAGTTCTTTGGGAAATGGACGGTCTTGCCCAAGAGGATTCACATTCAGACCCAGAGAAAGTGCTAGAAGTCTTGAGGTTGGTACTGCTCCTTGATGTCACCAACCCTCTGTGCCCCTCAGGAAGACTTAAGAGGCCCAGTCTCTCAGCAGCTCTCAGGCTCCGAGTGGCCAGAGTGTGGTGGGAGGCGGAGGGGATATCAGTATAATTCTACTGGACGTCTCAGCTGCCTGTCAGGGGCTCCAGAAATCTCTATTCATTCATTTATTCATTCATTCAGTTATTTCCATTAAGCATCCTCCAACTCTGGACAGTGCCAGGCACCACTCTAGGCCTGCAGAGTTACGAGGGACAAGACCTGAAAGGGAACAAGACACCATCAGAGCCACCTGCCAGGCTCTTCAGTGACCGAATGGTGCCTGCTCCCATCAGGGCAAGGCACCCAAGGGCTCCTCTTGCCGTAGCCCTCTCTTGTGGTCCCTCTCTTATCTCAGAGATGCTAAAAACATGACTATCTTCACATAGACCCTGCCTGACAGCCTGCCCTGGACCCTGGGGACTCACACTCAGGGACGCATATTCTCACTGAGTATGGCTGCCAGATGCAGCAAACAAAAAATACAGGAGGGCTGGTTAGAGTAGAATTTCAGGTAAATAACAAATGCATGTAATATTGGGGATGTGCTTATACAAAAATGCCAGCTGTTGCCCAGGCACAGTGGCTCACACCTATAATCCCAGCAGTCTGTGAGGCTGAGGCGGGTGGATTGCTTAGAGGTTTGGGCCTCCGGCTTGGTACCCATAGCACAGTGGTTATGGTGCCAGCCACATACACTGAGGGTGGCAGGTTCAAACCTGGCCTGGGCCATATAAAAAAACAATGATGACTGCAAGAAAAATTAGCCAGTCTTTTAGGCTCGGCGCCTATAGCTCAGTGGCTAAGCCAAAAATTTGAGGTTGCTGTGAGCTGTAATGCCATGGCACTACCAAACGCAACATAGTGAGACTCTGTCTAAAAAAAAAAGAAAAAGGAAGTTCAAGACCCCATCTCTAAAAATAGCCAGGC